TTTTTTTTAAATATCAGCATGTGAGATTGTATCTGTGTTCCTCTAGACATTCCAGAAAGTTTTACTAAAGTCCTAAAGCAGATCCCAGAACTCTTGAGTCAGTATAATCTGTACTACTTCATACACAAGAGAGATTTCTGGTTCTCAGGGTTGGGCCTTGTTTGAATATGTGGACAGACAATGAACAACTCCTAGAAGACCAACACAAAACCTTTGGGAACACTGACCAGCAAAAGACAGAAGCATCCAGTGTTCAGCTTTGTCAGAACAGCCGTGTTTGTCCTCTCTTGCTTATCTACTGAGTGCCTGAGCCTGGCTGCAGGGATTCTCAGAAATGAGAAGCAAACCTAGAGGGAGAGCCTGCAGGTTATTATCTGACTTTACTGTATGCCAGCTTTTAGAGAAGCTCTGTACAAAGTTTACCTTTCTAAACATCATTGACACAAGGTAAATGAATCAGCAGAGAGCTAAGGAAGATGACTTTGTCAGAACTCTCCTTCTAAATGCTGTTTTAAGAAGGAATATCAATTTTGGTGTTATGAGGCAGACTATAAAGGACATACACAAAAGCACATTCGAAGAGTTTGGTGGAATTTTCTTCATTCCCACTTAGAAAGATCACTTTAAAGATCAATCAGTAGTTCTTTTCTATACACTCGTGAGACTGTAACATCCCTCGTCTATCGTGCCAAAGCATTTCAGTGTTGGTGTAAAGCAGAGGTTCTAGGTATGAGCTGGACTATGCACGATGGCTGTCTGATCTCTGCCCAGACCTTCACACAGTACCATTGGCACACTGTGATCCCTTGTTGATACTGAGCACTGTGCATTGACATTCTCCTCTCATTCTCCCTGCAGCTCTCTTTACAATGGGTGGCAATGGTGACGGGCAGCCCTGCAAATTTCCCTTCAAATTCCAAGGCCAATCCTATGACCAGTGCACAACAGAAGGCAGGACAGATGGATACCGATGGTGTGGAACCACCGAAGACTACGACAGAGACAAGAAATACGGATTCTGTCCAGAGACAGGTATAAGGAATGTTGCTTGCATAACACAGCCTAATTTGTCACTGTTTTAAGTAGCAATAACAAGTCTCCTTTTGCACACCTTCAGCAGAGCACACAAAAGTCGATGAAGGTAAGGAAGTAACTGGAACAGGAGCAATTTGTGTAAAGAGTGTGGAATGCCATAGCACACCAGGTTTATCAGGGATACAGGAATGTCATTGAACCACACAACTACCACTGTGGCTACCACTGTAGGATAATTACAAGCAGATTATGATTTGCTAATGGCCCTGGAAGACAAGTCTCATCTGACAAAAGAAAGCATAAATAATATTTTACCTTAATACTCACCATTTACACTTGAAAAAAAGAAATCCTGTTTAGTATGTTAAACTTGTGTTAACAGATCTTTTCAGCAATTCAACAGAACTAAGTGAAATGGTTTAGCCACAAAAATAGATTTCCGCTTTCTTCACACTTTTTTAGACTTTTTAACCTGAGTTTTATTACATAAAGGAACAAAAATTAATTTATGGCCTTGTATAGCTTGGCAGGTGTTCAATGTTAGGATACAGACTAGAGCCATAAGCATTGATCTCAGTTAGCTATGGAAGTTCTAAAATCTTTGGCTTTTACAGAGCCGAGGGAAAGCTACAGTCACCCTGCAGCCCCCTGAAGTTCCATTCAAACCTGCATGTATCATTTTTTGATTTTTGGGGGTCTTTTTGAAATGGCCTAATCATTTGCAAGAGGGATTTGATGTCCTGGTATTTGGCTTCTTGTCACTTTTGATAATCACGTGTAACCCTTCAATTTTACATTACAGATGTTTAAAAAAAGAATCAAAGAAAGGATCAAGTTCATTATAACTTGCTATGCAGTTAGGAAGAGAAAATTCTAAAGGACTGTTCAACAGACAAAAGAACTAATATATCTAGAATCAATGTATTCAAAGTCCTAGGTAACACAGTTTCTATCAATGGAACCAAGAAACACACTCTGTACAAGCTTTTTTTTTCCAGCATAAAAGGCTATTGCTTGAGGTAGCTGTGATTTTTAATATCACTTATATACTATTAATAAATAATATTGAATGAGAAATAAAACCTAATAAGTAATTAGGGACAAAACCAGCTTTGCCTCTGTGTTGTTCTCAAGTACCTTTCCAGAAGATAGACCATAATTTGAAAGAAACAGACATTTAATCCACAGTCAATATATAATTTCTTTAGAAAATGTTTAAAATCGTATGGTTTGAAACTGTATCCTGCTGTCGGTACAGAAAACTTATTCTTCAGTGGGACACCCACTAGCCAGGTGGATATTCAATAGCCCTTTAACCTTTCTGACACTAATCCTACCTTCCACCTATTTGAGACACACCTTAAAATATCACCAGGAAAGACCATCCAAAGGTACTTGCTAGGCAATCACCTTCCACAAACCACTTAACTGTGGTTTCTCAGAGCTGTGAACACGAGGCCATGGCTCATTCTTACTCCCACCAAAACTCTTTTATTCTGTGTCAGACAATGTTCAAATATTACTTTTAATCTTATTTTTCATATTCTTAAAAGAATTGCAGGTTTTCTGCTTTCTGGTTTTAGTGTGTCAGTTAGGAGAAAAAGGGATCCCTGTCTCACTGTGTTTTCTCATCACTTCCCACAGCCATGTCAACAGTTGGTGGAAATTCAGAGGGAGCTCCTTGTGTATTCCCCTTCATCTTCCTTGGGAATAAATATGACTCCTGTACGAGTTCTGGGCGCAATGATGGGAAGCTGTGGTGTGCTTCCACCAGCAGCTACGACGACGACCGCAAGTGGGGCTTTTGCCCAGATCAAGGTAACACAGTTTGTCAGAGAGGTACAGAGGTACCTGAATAGTGATGGCATCACATTTATCATCATTTCAGTCTCATCAGTCCTGTTGTTTACAGCACTTATCCCCAGCCTGAAATCTGAGCAAAACTCCTACATTTGAATGTGAGACTATAGCTAAAGACTCAGTCCCAGAGCTCATCTGCCTGAAATACTCTGATTTTCTAAAGTTATAATGATGAAATGTCTTTCCAAAATATGAAACCATTAAATAAATAAATAACTGGTTTTCTCAAAACTAGGTTTTCCTCCCAAGGCTAAAAGCCACAA